GACAGAGAGCCGGAGGGGACTGCTGGACAAGGGAGGACCGTCGAGGCTCTCGCAACTACTGGGCCCCCAGAGGGGTCAGCCAGTGAGACTGGGACAGGTGCTGTGAGTGGTGTGACTGTGGTACAATCACGAAAGAAGCAACGTGACGCACCTGAGTCAAGCGTGAAAGTGTGCAAGACCTCAGCCGAGGCAGGACCTGTAGCAGTAGACGCACTCGCACCTAGAGCGTCGGCAGACTCACGGGCACCTAGAGCTGCAGCAGACTCACTAGCACCTGGAGCGGCAGCAGACTCACTAGCACCTGGAGTGGCAGCAGACTCACTAGCACCAAGAGCAGCAGCCTTAACATAACGATAACCTCTACCACTAGGACGGCCTCGCTGAAAAACCCACTCACGAAGCTGCTGAGGGGTGGGGTCGTCCGGGAGAGGCAGTGCCCGCTGCTGTCCACCCCTGGCCGCAGCAACTGCCGCGATAGTGGCCATGACAGACAGCGACGGTCAGGAGTAGGTCCAGCACCTCCAGCGCCTACAGCACCAGCAACACCTCCAGCACTCCCAGCAGCACCTCCACCAGCAGCAGCAGTAGCACGAGTAGCAGCAGCAGTAGTAGTAGCAGTAGCACGAGTAGCAGCAGCAGCAGTAGTATTATTATTATTATTATTATTATTATTATTTTTTTTTTTTAGGGTTTAGGGTTGCGCGCGGCCCACGGGCTGCAGGGGCGACGCGCGGCTCGGCAGGGCGGCGCGCGGGCTGCAGGGGAAGCGCCCACGGGCTGCAGGGGCGACGCGCAGCTCGGCACGGCGGCGCGCGGGCTGTAGGGGCAGCGCCCACGGGCTGCAGGGGCGACGCGCGGCTCTGCAGGGCGGCGTACGGGCTGCAGGGGCAGCGCCCACGGGCTGCAGGGGCAACGCGCGGCTCGGCAGGGCGGCGCGCGGGCTGTAGGGGCAGCGCCCATGGGCTGCAGGGGCGACGCGCGGCTCTGCAGGGCGGCGTACGGGCTGCAGGGGCGACGCGCGGCTATGCAGGGCGGCGTACGGGCTGCAGGGGCAGCGCCCACGGGTTGCAGGGGCAACGCGCGGCTCGGCAGGGCGGCGCGCGGGCTGCAGGGGCAGCTCCCACGGGCTGCAGGGGCGACGCGCGGCTCTGCAGGGCGGCGTACGGGCTGCAGGGGCGACGCGCGGCTCTGCAGGGCAGCGTACGGGCTGCAGGGGCAGCGCCCACGGGCTGCAGGGGCAACGCGCGGCTCGGCAGGGCGGCGCGCGGGCTGTAGGGGCGGCGCGCGGCTCGGCAGGGCGGCGCCCAGGCTGCAGGGGCGACGCTCGGCTCGGCAGGGCGCCGCGCGGGCTGCAGGGGCAGCGCCCACGGGCTGCAGGGGCGACGTGCGGCTCTGCAAGGCGGCGTACGGGCTGCAGGGGCGACGCGCGGCTCTGCAGGGCGGCGTACGGGCTGCAGGGGCAGCGCCCACGGGCTGCAGGGGCAACGCGCGGCTCGGTAGGGCGGCGCGCGGGCTGCAAGGGCAGCTCCCACGGGCTGCAGGGGTGACGCGCGGCTCTGCAGGGCGGCGTACGGGCTGCAGGGGCGACGCGCGGCTCTGCAGGGCGGCGTACGGGCTGCAGGGGCAGCGCCCACGGGCTGCAGGGGCAACGCGCGGCTTGGCAGGGCGGCGCGCGGGCTGTAGGGGCGGCGCGCGGCTCGGCAGGGCGGCGCCCAGGCTGCAGGGGCGACGCTCGGCTTGGCAGGGCGGCGCGCGGGCTGCAGGGGCAGCGCCCACGGGCTGCAGGGGCGACGTGCGGCTCTGCAGGGCGGCGTACGGGCTGGAGGGGCGACGCGCGGCTCTGCAGGGCGGCGTACGGGCTGCAGGGGCAGCGCCCACGGGCTGCAGGGGCAACGCGCGGCTCGGCAGGGCGGCGCGCGGGCTGCAGGGGCAGCGCCCATGGGCTGCAGGGGCGACGCGCGGCTCTGCAGGGCGGCGTACGGGCTGCAGGGGCGACGCGCGGCTCTGCAGGGCGGCGTACGGGCTGCAGGGGCAGCGCCCACGGGCTGCAGGGGCAACGCGCGGCTCGGCAGGGCGGCGCGCGGGCTGCAGGGGCAGCTCCCACGGGCTGCAGGGGCGACGCGCGGCCCGGCAGGGCGGCGCGCGGGCTGCAGAGGCAGCGCCCACGGGCCGCAGGGGCGAACGCGCGGGCTGCAGGGGCAGCACGCGGGCCACAGGGGCAGGCACGGCTGCAGGGGCAGCACGGTCGCAGGGGCAGGCACGGCTGCAGGGGCAGCACGGTCGCAGGGGCAGGCACGGCTGCAGGGGCAGCACAGTCGCAGGGGCGAGTACGGCTGCAGGGGCAGCACGGTCGCAGGGGCGAGCACGGCTGCAGGGGCAGCACGGTCGCAGGGGCAGCACGCGGGCTGCAAGGGCAGCGCGGCTGCAGGGGCAGCGTAGGAAGAAAAAAATTACGGTTAGGGCAGGGCGGAACGTTCGGTGGGCCCTAGGAACGATTCTGCTCTAATTCTATCTTAGAATAAGAAGGCAGGAATGATGGACTAGGTAGCATGCATGAGTACAAGTGCCTAACCCTAAAGTGTTGTACCCCTTGTAGGCTAACTCACCATAGCCTAGAGAGAACACAAACATACAGTTTGACATGCTGGTGGTGGGCCCGGAGAGTCTGCAGTGGCTTTTCCTTCAGGAGCCATAGTGATGCAGAATTGTAGTGTAATGAGTAATTTTATAAAGAGTTTGTTCTAGGAAGAACAAGAACTTTGGCAGGCCTTATAATCCACTCTAGCTCTCATACCATGCTGATATAACCAAATGATCGAAGTGGATAGGATAAGTCTGCTAAGTTAAGAGAAGACAATGAAGTCTTGGTAATGTGACCTTGTTGATGAAAGTTGAAAGTGAACAAGATGATTATAAGATAGGAGTACAAGGGTATAAATAGCAAACTAGCTAGCCATGTACTCTGAGGGGTACATTCCCTTATTAACTGAATTGCATTGCTACAGTAACCACGACTATTGCTCTTCTTGACAGTTACCATGTTGAATCGCGTAACTACCAAGTGCGGTTACTGGACGGTCAAGAGTCACGACCGTTGAGTGTCTTCGACTGTTGACCTTTGGGTGACTCTCGATCTTCCGCATGCTCTATATGAGCTATTGCGGTACTAGTACAGACGCTCTGCTTCGTTATGGAGTGGCGCGTCGGTAGAGAACCTTCGGGAATGTTAAAATAACCTATCGGTTATTCCAACAGTTTTCATATGGCCCTAGGGTCTTATACCCAGGTAATAACGGTACCGTATGTTTGGCAATCATGCAAGAGATTGCCCACAAGATGTCTGCATGAGATAGCCCACAAGATGTCTATACCGATACCAGTATGAGATTACATGCATGTTGGGTAACCGTTGATGATTGGTTCCCGATATGGCATATATCGTCTCGTGTTGGTTGGGATATTGTTTGGTATAGGCATATTGACATAAAGATTTGAATCGTATACCTCTCGTATGTACACATATATTTGAATGAATCACGCGACCCCATATTTTCATTCTATTGTATGCATTTTTTTCTTGAACAAATATGCTACTCAAATATATATTTAAAAATACGTATATATATATATATTGCTACTGTGCAGAAAATGGCACATGAAAAAACCCTATCAGTGTTAGATCAAAGAGCTTTTGTTTAGTATGTGAGAAGACAAGAAACAAACCTGAAATATAGGCTTGGTCTAGAACCAAGCCTGCCACAAATGAGTTTTTTTCTCCAAGATGGATACTGTATTGTTTTGCCCAGATTTTGCCACTTTCCAACTTTGGCCTGGGGTGGCAAAATGGGCAAATCGAAACGAGAGGCCTGCTACTGTACACGTACACCTGCGTGTCAATGAGGAAAAACTGGCAGAAGTTCCTCCGTTCCCCATTCGTTATCGTAAGTGGCGGAAAAGGTCGGGCTCTGTGGTTGGCTCGGAATGTGGATCCGATGAAGGCTAAGGGCGTGTTAAATCCCCACACATTTCCGAAAATGGGGTGTGGCCGAATTTTCGACGACCAAATGGTCGTCATATTTTTCGCGAACAACGACGAGGTGGCCGAATCAGAGTCGACCCTTTTACAGCCAAATTTTATAGTTTTGGCGATTTAACAACTTTGGTGGCCGATTTGCGGGCCGGTTCGGAAAAGTTGTTAAATTTGCAGTTACTACGTTGAGTATATGCGACGGGGTCGCACTCTCGACGGCGATATTTCTCATTTGACGCGATCACAAATTCTGTCGTTGGGCGAAACCATGCTACGTCGCAGGCGATTGTCGTACACTGTGTCGACTACTTGGCCGTTTTGGAGTCGACTCGGCGTCGTTTTCGTGTCGACTTTTTAACGGCCATCAAATTCGTTAATTCTTTACGAAATTCGCGACGGTCGACACGTGACTTACGATTGTCGCAAACTGGTTACCTTCGCAAAAACGGCCCGACGGATTGTGGCCGAACTTTTGGGGTTTCCGATTTAACACGCCCTAAGGGGGTCGCTATGTGGACTGTACTCTGAAGACATTATGTGTCAACGCAATGTACAGTGCGGCCCGAAAGAAAATACACTGTATGCCGTACAGCATTGTACAGTGGTTTTGAAACACCAAGAACCACACCAAATCATACCACCATCATACCACACCGAACCACACTAAACCACATAACACCAAACCACGCACAGAACATTGACTGTACGCCACAATAATGACAACATATTGTACCATTCTATTGCGAGGAAAACGACAGGCACAGTACAGTAGATCCTCGAATCCCTCCCTACCCAAGAGCCCAATCCAAGCCATCCTTTCCGTTACCTTCTCTTCCACCTCCACCTCATCCCTTCCCTCCGCCATAGCTCACTAGACTTCAGGCTATGGCATTGCTCCTAACTATTGGGCATCATCTTTTTCCCAAAATCACCTCTCTATTTTTCGCTCCATTGAAGCTGTTGTGAAGGCATGGATGTTGACGGTGACACAGAGTGGGAATGGGACAAGATGTGGAGGAAACAGCGAGAGGAGGAACGGCGGAAGCAACGGGCAGCCGAACGGGCAAGCATGAATTGGAGAAGGCACAGCGCGGGTGGGGTAGCCGGAGATTTTTCGGACGAATGGAAAGCGATAGTGTCACAGGAGGGACAGGAAGGAGCAGCTCCGGAGGAGGATGCGTCGTGCCGTCAGTTTCCGCTACTGAAGAGTAAAAGCGATCGCATCGTTAGCACGAGCGGCGGTAACATACCGGCCGTTTCCGGAAAAGGTATCGCGAAGAGCATGAGCGAGCGGATGGACCCGCCGTCGTCGGGCGGCGAGAGCGAGGAGTTCCATTTCCACAACCTCAGACGCGCGCAGCGCAGCTCGTCCATGAGTGCCGGCTTGTTCGCAACTGGTTCGCCCATGGCCGGCCCGTCGGGCGGCGCGTCGTACTTCCCCGCGTCCTGGTCCACCGGCACCTTCAAAGGCCCCCCGGCCGCCACGCTCTCCGCCACGTCATCCATGGGGACCGTGCCGCCGAAGTCGGGCTCGCATCCATCGTTTGCCCCGTGGCGAAGGCGGAGCGAGAGCGTGGGATCCATGGACGTGGGGCCGACGACCCCCAGCTCCATCTTCCTGCCTCGCAGCACCAGCGATTGTTTCGACGTCGCGAACGCGTCGCAGCTGGGCAGATCGGGAATGTCGCCCGTCGCAGCAGCCGTCGCAGCGGTGGACGGCTACGGACCGCAGAATCTGCGGTACGGGTCGAATGTCGCCAACGTACCTCGCACCCGCGATGGCAGCGGCAGGCGATTAGCCTCGGCTGAGTTACCACAGCGTCCTGTGAGCGCGTCCGCGGAATTTTCAGGGCGCGCGTCGAGGCTGTCGCGGGGTTCGCCGCCTCAAATCCAGCCGCCGTCGTTCACTCCCCCCATTCCCGTCGCGGAGGCTCCGTACGCTGACGTGGCACCTGCCGTGGTTGGCGCTGTCGGCGTGCAACGGCTGTCGCTGCAGGTGAACCGGTTAGAGGTCGACGCGGACGGCCTCGGCAGCCGAGATGGCAGTCCACTTGGCAGTCCACGTGGCAGCCTCTGCGGAAGCCCGGTTAGCAGCTGCGGCGCCAGTCCACGTGCCGGCTGGTCAGGCAGTCCGCGTGGCAGTTTCTTCGGCAGTCCACGTGGCGACAGCCACAGTGGCACGAAACTGAACAGCGGCCAGAGCAGCAGAGAAACCAGCCCCAAGGACCTTCAGGAGATTAACTCCTTCGAGACAATCCATATCCCTGCAGGGAGATTAAGCAGCCGCGCGGGAAGCCACGCGAGCAGCGCGGCGCACAGCGTGTCGGGGAGTCTCGCGAGCAGCCCGAGGGGCGTCAGCTGCGGCTATAGTGCCCCCTGGGACATGCCTGCCGCCGGCGATATCATTCGCTCCCCCGTCGCGCCGCCCACGTCTCAGGCGGCGCGCAGCAACGGCCAGCCGACCATTCAGGAGCTTCTAGACGCGCTTAAAGCCATCAGCCCGGACGCCGCGCTCGAAAGCGCCGCCGCCGCTGTCGCCGCGGCAACTGCTGCGGCCGTTGCGTCGATGCCGCCCGGCGTGTCGATCCCCCTCCCAGCCCTTTCGCCGTCCGCGTTATTAGCCCCGATCGCGGTTCCAAGAGCAGGCGAGGGCGAGGGGTTGGTGCGCAGGCTGAGCGGCGGGTTGGACGGCGCGAGCCGCCCGGGGTCGCCGCGGCTAGCGCCGGTGCCGGAGGTGCCGCACGAGGAGGAGCGGAGCTGGGATGCCCCGCCCGCCCCCCCCGCGGTGGATTGTAGCGACGACGGCGCGGACGACAGCGACAGCCCCTTGGGATCGCCGATTTTAGGGTTAGGCGGGCGCGCGTTTTCGGAGAACGGGAGGGGGACGGGCGGGGGAAGGGCGGAAGATCTGCGGAAGAGCCGCAGCGTGAGCGGCGGGGAGTGCGGTGGGGCGGACGTTGTGCGCTTGTACGCGGAGGCGGAAACTGCAATGCGCGCGCAGCAGCAGCAGCGCGCGGGTGAGCAGCAGGCGCCGTCTTCCACTCTCAGCAGCGCCTTCAGCAGCCGCAGCACGTCCGCGGACGGCGGAGCGGAGGAAAACGACCCGCTGGGGGACCTTCCAGGAGGCTTCGTGAGCCGTGTGGGTGCCGGCAGCGCAGCAAACGGGCACTATGGCGGGCAGGGAGCGCGGGGAGCGGGAACAGGGGCGGGCGCAGGGGCGAGCGGGGGGACGGGGGGATCTTCACGGTCTGCGCGTGCGTTTTTTCCCCCGTCGTTTTCGCTGAGCCACTACCTGCAAGACGACGACGACGGGGAACCGCTGGAGGAGGAGGAGGAGGAGGGGGAGGGGGAGGGCAAAGGGGACGGGGAGGGTGGTGATGGGAAAATGAGTGTCGGGAAAGATCGGGAGGCGGGCAAAAAGGGGGAGGTGGGGGAGATGGGGGAAGGGGACGAGGATGGAGAGAGGGAGGGAGAGGAAGCAAAGGAGGCTCAGGAAGTGGACAACGGAAGTGGCGGGGGAGGGGCGAGGAGGGACGGAGATAAGTCCGGTGCGGCGGGCGAGGGGGCGGGGGAGGCAGGCGGACGAGTGGGGAGAGGGGGGGATGTACGAGCGGGAATTCAGAGCAGCAGCGGGAGCCACAGGGCAGATGTTGGGGCCATGGCCTCAGCCCATGGCCGCGTTATGGCCAACAGTGACAGCATCGGCAGCAGCAGCAGCAGCAGCAGCGGCAGCAGCAGCAATAGCATTCCAGTGCTGAGTCCGTCGAGCAGCATGGACGTGGGCGGAGAGGGGCAGGGGGACACGTCGTGGGCGGATTACGGGGATGACAAGCGCAGGGCCGCTCATGCCACTACTGCTGCTGCCGCCGCTGCTGTCGCTGCTGTTGCTTCTAGTGCCGCCGACGCCGCTGGTGCGGCTGGTGCTGGCGGGCTAGTGGGGAGCGGAGAGGGCGCAGCAGAGGGGGAAGCGGGAGAGGTTGAGGTGGCAAAGGGTGCGGGCGCGGAGGGCGCGAGCTCAAGGGGTCCGCACGTGTGGAAGGCGGGGCCCGGGCTGGGGGAGCGGCGGAGGAGCTTTGACGTGCGCGCGCTGCTGAAACCGGAGGAGGGGGAGGCGGAGCAGAGGCGCCTGGGCGGGAGGGGCGGGCGCGGGGAGAGTTGGGCGGAAGTGGACTGGCTGGGGCTGGAGTTTGGGGCGTGGCGGGGGGAGGACCTGGGCGGGTTTACGTGGGAAGAAGCGGAGGCTGTGTGGGTGGTGGAGAGGGAGGGGGGGAAGAAGACGGGGGAAGGGGGGAGTGGCGGGGAACAGGTGAAGGGGGAAGGGGGGATCGCGGGGGAGCAGGCGAAGGGGGAGAAGGGGAGCGATGAGGGGCAGGAGAAGGTGACAGATGGGGCTGGTGACTTGGGGAAGGGGAGGGAGAGGAGGGAAAGGGGGGAAGCAGCGAAGGCGGGGATGGGCGGCCATAGGGAGGAGGGTGGGGAGGCGAATGGAAGGGGATTTGGCCATAAGGGGAGTGGGGCAGGAGAGAGCCGCGGCGATAGGTGCGAGGGTGTGCAAAACGGTGTCAGTGTAGAGAAAGTGAAGGAGGAGAAGGAGGAGAAGGAAGAGGAGAAGGAGAAAAACGAGAAGGAGGAGGAGAAGGAGAAGGAGGTGGTGGTGGGGGTGAGGGGCAGGCGGGCACGTGCGTTGTTCCCCACGTGTGTGTCGCTGAGCCACTACCTGAGCGACCCCTCCCACTCTGACGACGAGCCCCTGGAGGACGTGGCGGAGGATGGGGGGGAGGGCGCGCATGGGGGGAGCGCGGAGGAGATGCAGCAGGGGGAAGGGGAGGGGAGGAGAGCGGGACAGGTAGATGGGAAGGGTACGGGGCGAGTAGGGAGTGCAAGCGGAGGGGCGGATGGGTCGGGGTTGAGCCAGGAAGGCAATGTGCTGCCTGCTTGTGCCCCTGCCAGCCTCCGTTTCTCACCATCCAAGCCGCCTCGTCCATCCCCATCTCCTCCCACCCGTGCCACCCCGCCTCCCCCCCCCGCTCCTGCTCCCACCACGGCCTCTCAGCCTGCTGCTGCGGTCCCATCACCGCCCCCACCACACCCACCGTCCACGCCACCCCCGCCTGCTGCGGTTGCTGCGCCTGCGAGCCCCTCTCCTGGGGACTGTGTGGCCCACATGGCCGCGTTTCTCAGGTGCGCCTTGCATGCACATGCACACGCACACGCACACGCACATATGCACGCACACGCACACGCGCATGCATACGCACATGCACACGCACACACGCACGCGCACATGTACATGCACATGCACATGCACACGCACATGCACACGCACACGCACATGCACACGCACACACACATGCACATGCATATGCAATGTTGCTCCTAGCCTCCCCCTTATAGTGTCCCCGCTCTTGTCTATCCCTCTTTATGAGAGCTTATCTTATTTCCTTCCTTCTCCTCCTTCCCTGTCCTGCCCCTTCACCCGTTTGTCACCACATCAGAAACTTCCTGGATCTTTCAGCCACGCCGTTCCTCTCACTCGCTCTGCCTGCTGCCACCATCGTGAGCTGTAACGACGCCACGTGTCACACGCTGGGATGGCCACGTCAGCAGCTGCTCTCCCGCAAGCTGGCCTCTCTGCTCGTTCGAAATCAAGCACAGCAGGAAGCGCAAGCCCATGAGGAAGAGCTACGGCAGGAGGAACTGATGCAGTCTGAGGGTGGGGAGCAGGAGGGGGATAGGCCGATGGCAGTGCGGCAGCAGCAAGGGGAAGGGAGGAGGGAGAGTGAGATTTCTTCTTTGGATTCCTGGCTGGGTGCTATTATGCGCACTGGGGTTGGGGAGGGCCCCCTTACAGTCACTCTCACCCGGCCCAATGGGTTGGCTGCTGTGCGCGCCACTCTCTTTGCTGCCACCCTGCACCCCTGCTCTCCGCCCTCCCACCCCTCTCAACCATTCCACTCTGCTGGAGCAGGCAGCGATGGTGGTGGCAGTGCAGCGACAGCAGCAGCAGGGGAGGCAGGGGAGGCAGGGGAGGCCACGGTGGCCATCATGCTGCATGTGCTGCCGTGAACCCCCTCCGCTCCTCCATGCGCGCACACGATGACAGCTACGGAAGGCTGCTGTAACGCACTGCTCGCTCTCCTGCGCGATAGCTCTGCGAGGCTTCGCGAAAGAGAGCATGCCACGGATTGGCACTGGTGTACAGGAAGGGCGGCAAGGCAAGGGAGTTGGTGCTGCTACATATCCGGTCAATGTTTTTGAGACGTTGGCCTTGCGTGGGCTGTAGTCTGGTGTTGCCCGGCCAGTTCAAACTTGCATTAAGATGCATGATGTTGCAGGGTTGAATCACTGTGGCTGTAGGAGAAATCCTCTTTGTATTTATTGGGTCATGGGGCTGCTGGTCTTGTCCTCAACAGTGATAACATCTTACACCACTGGTTCAGTACTGACTCTTGTTAATTGGTTGAGCCATTGAGTACTACAGACAGAGTCATGGGTACAGTATGTCTCTTGGCAAATGGTTGATCACGATTCAAGGCCAACCAAGCATTACCAGTGTGCCTATGCGCGGCTTCTACCATCGGATTATTGCTATCCCGCAGGGAGTGCTCTGCTGTGCTCCCTGTTGTAACAATACAAGCTGCATTAATCAACCCATCGTTCCTTTCTCCCCTCCTCCCTACTCTTCTCACCCTCCCTTCTTTCAACTCACCGATCAATGCACTATTTGGAAAGAGAAACATGGGGTTATACACAGTAATACAGCCTGAACGGACCTTGCAAAACTGCAATGCATTCGTACAACACACGTTACCATATCATCAGTGGCGCCTAGTGCCTTGGTCGGCACCGCCACAGAGCCACTCCAATTGCAGCAGCAGCCAGCACAGCAAGCAGTGCCTGTAATGGGGACAACAAAAACGAGGATGGGGAGGACTCAAAGGGAAGGGCATGTGAGCACCACCAGAGAGCACACAAAGAGACGGGATGCGGCCAGACATCAGATGGGAGCACGAGTGATGAGATAAGGTGCGGTTGTGGAATAGAAGCTCACTTTGGATTCGGATGTGAGGCCTGGGTTCTGCTTGGGCGGCAGCGACAGCAGGCGGCGCCAAAGGGGCTGTGTGGGCACGAGGCTGACAGCTGTGTACTGCTTGGAGCACGGCACTGGGAGTAGCTGAGTCAGCATGGCACGGACTGAGTCAGCGCTGAGCTGGCTGATGAGACGCAGGCGAATGTCTTCCAGTGTCTGGTGCGGCGGCAAAGGGGTGGATGGTTGGGGGAAGTGGGGTGAGGAGGAGAATGAAACAGCTGGTGCATGTGTACTGCACCCCGCACTGGACAAACTCGCAGAGAAGAGCAGCTCCTTACCTAGTGTGCCAAGCCATGAGATGAGAGCCCACCTGAAACGGCGCATCATGCCACCAACACACACCCGAGTCTGCACAGTGTGCATTGTCCAGAACTCTCTACAACAACAGACAGCAGCGGGAGGTCACCTGGAAGGAAGGACTCATCCACATTGCCGTTGTACAGGCGAGTCTGGTACGCTCGCACGGCGCGGTTCAGCCACACGGAGTTCTCCCACAAACCCGCCTCAACGCAACTTCTAAGCGAAATGAAGAGCAGCATCGAAGGCTCACCTGAAACGATTCATCCACGTTGCCGTCGTACAGGCGAGTCTGGTACGCGCGCACCACACGGTCGAGCCAGAAGGAGTTCTCCTGCAGCCCCATCTCGTGCGCGCGCTGCTCCAACTCCCGTGCCGTCTTCACATCCGCCTCCTCCGGCCCCTCCCTCTGCACGCGCTCTATCTCCGCCACACTCAGGTCCACCTGGGGGGGGTGGGTGGAAGATGAAAGGATGCAGGGAGGGGTGGGATTGCTCAAAACTAGACTCAAAATCATGTCGACTGTTGAAAACCCTCTGCAGCCGCTCGATTGCCGCCATACTCCAGCCCACCTGAAAGGGTGGGGCCACTCCAAATTGGACTCGAGAACGGTAAAACAAGTCGACAAGAAATTCCGCTGCAGCCGCTCCAATGTATCACGTGAGCTTGGGTCCACCTGCGGGCAGAGAGGGCCTTGCTGCTGGAGAGGTATGGTGGGTGGGCGAGTGTTGCTGGATGATTGGCATGGCATGGTATACGGGAGAAGAGAGAAAGCAGAGAGGAAGCAGATTGGAAGCAGAGAGGAAGCAGGAAGGGCGATGGTGGCACAGAGGCGATGAGGGTGTGGGAGAATATTGACACTGACACGCAGTGAAGCAGAGAATCCTCCACCCAAAGCACGGCAGATCAAAACAGAGAAGAGCAAAGCAGATGAGAGCAGGGAGCGCACGAGTGACCAGGCAGTGGTGGGGTCGCAGGAGAATGCGACTGCCAGGTCCCCCCTCACCCCGCCCTGGCGGGACGGACGCGCCCCCCCCAGGAAGGACGATGCCGACACCGTGTAGATCTGCACAAGGCGGGGGACGTGGGTGGTGACAAAGGGACACGTGGCAGGGGAGACAGGTGGCAGGGGGGAGACAGTTGGCAAGGTGGGGTGGAGGTGGGGCGAAGGAAGTGGCAGGGGAAAGGGTGAGAGCTAGAGTGGTGAGGGGTGTGGAAGGTGGGGTGAAGCGGGTGAGAAGGGCAGGCGGGGGCGGAGGAAGGGAGCCGAGCAATCAATGCTTCAACAGAGTGACCGAGAGGCGAGTGCGAGGTGAGGGGCGAGTGGGAGGTGAGGGGCGAGTGGGAGGTGAGAGGCGAGTGCGAGGTGAGGGGAGAGTGGGAGGTGAGGGGCGAGTGGGAGGTGAGAGGCGAGTGGGAGGTGAGAGGCGAGTGGGAGGTGAGAGGCGAGTGGGAGGTGAGGGGCGAGTGGGAGGTGAGGGGCGAGTGGGAGGTGAGAGGCGAGTGGGAGGTGAGGGGCGAGTGGGAGGTGAGAGGCGAGTGCGAGGTGAGGGGAGAGTGGGAGGTGAGGGGAGAGTGCGAGGTGAGGGGCGAGTGCGAGGTGAGGGGAGAGTGGGAGGTGAGGGGCGAGTGGGAGGTGAGAGGCGAGTGGGAGGTGAGAGGCGAGTGGGAGGTAAGGGGCGAGTGGGAGGTGAGGGGCGAGTGGGAGGTGAGAGGCGAGTGGGAGGTGAGGGGCGAGTGGGAGGTGAGGGGCGAGTGGGAGGTGAGAGGCGAGTGGGAGGTGAGGGGCGAGTGGGAGGTGAGGGGCGAGTGGGAGGTGAGAGGCGAGTGGGAGGTGAGGGGCGAGTGGGAGGTGAGGGGCGAGTGGGAGGTGAGGGGCGAGTGGGAGGTGAGGGGCGAGTGGGAGGTGAGGGGCGAGTGGGAGGTGAGGGGCGAGTGGGAGGTGAGGGGCGAGTGGGAGGTGAGGGGCGAGTGGGAGGTGAGAGGAGAGTGGGAGGAGAGGGGCGAGTGGGAGGTGAGGGGCGAGTGGGAGGTGAGAGGCGAGTGGGAGGTGAGGGGCGAGTGGGAGGTGAGGGGCGAGTGGGAGGTGAGGGGCGAGTGGGAGGTGAGGGGCGAGTGGGAGGTGAGGGGCGAGTGGGAGGTGAGGGGCGAGTGGGAGGTGAGAGGCGAGTGGGAGGTGAGGGGCGAGTGGGAGGTGAGAGGCGAGTGGGAGGTGAGAGGCGAGGTGGCAGGAGCGCAGAATGGGTGTGAGTGAGAGACCTGGCCGTGTTTGAATCGCAGCAGCTGCATGACCCGCGTCTCCAGCAGCTTCGTGAGGAAGCCCACCCACATGGTTTCCTCCACCTGCACAGTTGACATTCACGTCATACCACATGCCATACGGTTACACGGCATGCATGCAATCATGTGACATGCGAGCAGTCATGTGGCATGCGAGCAGCCATGTGGAATGATGCAGTCAGAGGTCATAGCGTCATGCAACACGCCAAAACACATTCAACTCAGGCACGATACAGTCACATTGCGTGTCTGTCACACAAGAACGAGCCCTTCACGAACCAGGGACATGAGATGTGAGTGGAACCATGTGCCATGTGCCATGCATATTGTCACATACGGTTGCATGGTGCAGAGGACAGTTGCACGGCATGGACGCACACTCACGAGTTTGGATCCAGCATAAATGTGGAGGGGGAGGTGATCACTTTGAGACGTCTCAAGCAAACATGGAGCGGCACTCACGACTTTGGGGCTGGCGGGGATGTTGAGGGGGAAGGTGATCTGCGTGTAGCCCTGCGCCTCCACCATCACCCTCCTCACCTCCTCCCTGCCCTCGCCCACCAGCAGCGAGACAGCAGAGCGCGGAGAGAGAAGAGGCGGAGAAGGCAGAGGGCAGAGAGGGTAGAGGGCGGAGAGAGTAGAGGGAGTAATTTAGTGGGATATTCAGAAACAGAGCAGGACACTGCATTTACACGAGCAGGGTAGCAGTGACGATAACGAGGCACAGTGGAAAGCGGGCAGACTTGAGATACACTCAGAACAAAACGACTCCCACCCCTAAAACGACCCGCACCGGATGAGGGAGTCGGGGAACTTGAAGGGCAGCGCTGTGAGCGAGTCGCGCTCGTAGCGTGGCATGGCGGCTGGTGGGGAGGGCACTGGGATGCCGCCCTGAAAGGTGGGTCGCGAAGGGGGAGACAGAGAGAGGGAGTAAGGTGCGAGCTGTGGTGCTGAGGGCACTGAGACGCTGCTGTGGTGTGTGGGTCGAGTCGCGCTCGTAGCGTGGCATGGCGGCTGGTGGCGGGGACACTAGGATGCCGCCCTGGTGTGGGGGATGCGGAAAAGGGAAGGGGGTGGCACGGGTGTGGGACGGGTGGGTGGCGTGGTGGAAAAGGAAGAGAAGTGGGGAGCTTGGCTGGTTGAGGTGCGTGACTGAATGGGAGCGAGTGAGACGGCGGGTGAGAAAGTGCGTGCAGGAGTGGGCAAGTGAGTGTGGGTGAGAGTGGTGATAAACGTGCTGCAATTTCTGCGGTACCCACCTCTTTCTGCCAACACACATCGACTCACGCACTTAATTTCGGCCTATCCTGCGCATGTGTGCCTTTCATTGCCACCTCACCAGGTACTGCCTGCCTCAATCAACCCTGCCCTCACCAGGTACTGCCTGCCTCAATCAACCCTGCCCTCACCAGGTACTGCCTGCCTCAGTCAACCCTGCCCTCACCAGGTACTGCTTGATGAGGGGCAGGGCCTGCTCTAGGCGTGTGCTGCCGATGATAACGGCCGTGAAGGGCGATGGGTCCTTGAACGCCCGCTCGAAGTACTCGCACGCCTTGCTGTAATCCACCCTCTTCAGATCCGACTCTGTGATTGGCTGTAAGGGAGAGAGGAGGACGCGGAAGGTGTGAGGGGAGATGGAGGGCACAGGGGGGAAGGGGAATGTGAGTGCATGCAGAGGGAGGCACGAGGGTGTGACGCCCATCCCCCCCTGGTATGGTAGCTGCCCGGCCCACACTTTTCCAACGCCCCCCTGCCACTCCCACCCACCCCTATCCCCATCCCCCAGCCCACACACCGCACCTTGGGCTGGTGGCTGCGGCCATAGCTGAACTCGCGCATCCCCACCCCTCACTCCCACCTCCCACAACCCATGCCCCACGCCCCACGCCCCACGCCCATCCCCCGGCCCCCACAGCACCTTGAACTGGTAGCTGCGCCCAAAGATCATCCCCCTTATCCCTTAATCCCACCCTCGATCCGCACCACACGCCATCGCGTGCCCCACACGCCTCAATCCCGCACCTTGAACTGGTAGCTGCGGCCATAGCTGATCTCGCGCACGCGGTTGGCAAAGGCAGTGAAGGGGTCGCGCTGCTGCCCACGCACGGCCTCCCTGGTCATCTGCTTGATGAGCGCTATGTCCTTCGCCTCTGCCGTGATGCTGCACGTGAATAGCTGGTACACCAGCTGCAGACAAGGGGAAGCAGAGGGGCGATGGGAAGCAGAGGGACGGGAAGGTGGCTTTAGAGTCGTCATCTGCTTGATCAGCGCTATGTCCTTGGCCTCCGCCCGTATGCTGCACGTGAATAGCTGGTACACCAGCTGCACAAGGGGCGAGGGGGCGGGAAGGGGAGGAGCGAAGGGAGGGGGGGGGGGAGAGAGAAGGGGCGAGGGGGAAGGGAGGGAGTCAAGGTGACTTTGAGTCACTCAGGAAGCACCACTATACATCCCCACCCGCATCCCATTGCACCTGCACATCCGCCTTTATACCAACCCACTCACCACTCACACCCCCTCACTCCCCACCAGCATCCAACCAGCATCCCAGGCACCTGCAGAGCCGTCTCAAGGTCGTCCGGGGAGCACTCCCCCGAGAACACACGCATGTAGGACGACAGCTTGCCGCCCACCTCCACGCGCTTGCCGGCCAGCAGCTCCGCCATGACAGCTGGCGGGTGGCCGAATATGCCCGCCTCCCCCGCGATGCTCTGCGCCATGGCTGCCGTGTAGTACTCGGCTTCGGACACCTCCGAGAGACCCCCGTATGCATAGCCGGATATCAGGATCTGCAGTGGGGAGGCAGAAACATTGGAGTGTTGTTACAACATCTGATGCTCTGCGCCATGGCTGCCGTGTAATAGTCGGCTTCGGAAACTTCTGAGAGACCCCCGTATGCGTAGCCTGAGATGAGAATCTGTGGTGGGGGGAGGAGGGGCAGATGGGCGCATGGGAGGGTTGAGAGAGCATGCGAGGGTTGCTCGCCCGCTATGCTCTGCGCCATGGCCGCCGTGTAGTAGTCGGCTTCGGCCACATCCGAGAGACCCCCGTATGCATACCCAGATATCAAGATCTGAAGTGGGGAAGAGAGACATTGAAGGGTTGTTAGAGATTCTGATGCTCTGCACAGTCAGAGTGAGATCTAGGTGTACGTGCGTGTAGGCCGATATCAGGGTCTGCGGTGGGAGGGGGAGGGGCACATGGACACACACACACACGTGGGGAGAGAGCATTCGATGCTTTGCTCTGCGGCATGGCTGTTGTTTGGTGGTGGCAGTAGCACGTATCCAAGAGACCCCCACGCGTACCCAGATATCAGGATTTGCAGCACCAGTCCATGGGGTAGGCGCGCCTCGTGGGCAGGCAATGGCGTGCCGTGCCAGAGCCACACAGCGCGCCCCTGCAAGAAGCACAACACTGCACTCCATGCTCCCACCACGCCCAACGCACTGCCAGCTAGCTACCCCAGCAGCACGGCCTGAGAGTACAGCTGCGCGTGCTGCAGAAGGCCTGGCGGCAGCAGCGCTTCCAGAAACGGCAGCGCCTTGCCTGCTGCTCCCAGCATCGCACACAACCCCGCCACATACCCCTGCTCCACCCGCTGCTCCTCCCCCCTCCTCCTCCCCCTCCCCCTCGCTCTCTTTCCTCCTCTCGTCATCTCTCTCCCCTGAGCAGGAATGGGGTAGAGTGTTGAGGGGAGGGGCGGGTGGGCGGTGGGCACGCAACCGCTGGCTGTGGCTGTTCTTGCCCCTCTGCCGGCCTTCAGAGCTGCCACGTCAGCTGCCAGCTCAGAGGCCATGCTTGCCACGTGGCAGCTGCAAGCAGCGCCAATCGCGGCCAGTGTGTCGAGCACCTCCTGTGTCTCCCTCCCCTCCCCTCCCACCACTCTCCCCCTCCCATCCCTCTCCCTCCCCCTCTTCCATCCTCGTCCCAGCCCTCCCTGTGCTGCCCATTCGCCCCCACCACCCACACCAACACCACCCCAAGCACCGCCCCCATCCACCCACCCCATCTCTCCTTCCACTCCCTCCTCTCCCTCACTCCCCTCTTCCTCCTCCTCTTCCCCGCCCCCTGCCCTCAATGCCCTCTCCATATTCCCCAGCAGTGCACGCACACACGCTCTCACTCCCCCTGAGTGTGCCGGCCGCAGGACCGCAAGCAGACACCGCCCCGCCGCCCGCACAGCCAGCGACTTGTCCTGTAGCGAGGAGAGCAATGCTGAGAGGCGTCGCCCGGGAGAAGTGGCGACTACATTCAGGAGAGAGGAAGTCGTGGCGGATGGAGCAATGGTGGGGGAGGTGGTGATTGGGGCAGGTGCGAGCTTGGGGGCGTCTGAGGGCACAAGAAGAGGCTCCTGAAGGGGTGGCGGGGTGAATGGCCTAGTGATGCCAGCAGTAGCAGCAGCATCATTGCTGCCACCGGTGCTTGGAGCAGCAGTTGCAGCAACGAGAGGGATGGGTGAGGAGGAGAGGAAGCGGGAGAGAGGGCCCCCCCATAGCAACAGCAGCCGGGAGAGCGATTGCAGAGCGAGCGCTCGAATTGCTGCCACGTCATCACTGCATCCTCCAATCAGATGCGAGCACGCCTCAAGAGCTACCCGCAGAGAGGACGAGGAGGAGGGGAGTAGGGCGGATAGGATTGAAGGGGTTGACGAGTTGGAGCATGGAGCAGCAGTATGGGGCGTATGGGGTGTGGCGATGGCAGCTGCAGCAGCAACAGCAGCGGCTCTCACTGCACGATAATCATCCTCCATTCCCACCACCACGGCCCCTGCTGCTGCCTCTCTGAGGCACCGTAACCACTTGCACTCACTGCTCTCTCCCTGCCCTCCTGTCTGCACCTGCTGCTGTTGCTGCTGCCGCCCCTCCTGCTGCTTCTTGCGCTTCGCTCTCCTTCCACCCAGCTGTGGTTCGGAGTGGCTTTGGCGGGAGGGGCGGAGGAGCTGGGGCAGCGGGCAGAGGGAGGGGGGCGGCGGGTGCTTGAGCTTCTTGGAGAAGGCCTGCAGGAGAGCTGCCTCGCAGGGGGCGGGGGGGAGAGGCGGTGCGACCGCTGGGAGGGGAGGCGGCGAGGGGGAAGAGGAGGCAGCAGGGGCAGGGAGGCGAGGCGGCGAGGCAGAGACGAGGGCGGCTGCGGTTCGGAGTGCAGCGCATCGGACGGCGGGGAAGGGATCGGTGGCGCGCGCTGAGAGGGAGAGGAATGTGATGTCTGCCACTGCTTGCCATGTCACTGCCTGCTGCTGCTGCTGCTGCTGGTGCTGGTGGGCAGTCCCAGTGACACGTGTGCCTCGTTCCGATTGCCTACCAACACCTTCACCCCCTCTCTCCCTTCCCCTTGCCCCCCCCCGCAGCAGCAACGCCACTCCCTCCCGCCGCACCCACGCCACCACCTGTGCCACCAGCCGCACGGCGTGCAGGCGCACGTGCTCACAGTCGTCCTCCATCGCCTCACATGCACGCTGCACCATGCCTGCCACCGCTATCAACAGCACACCGCCCTCATCACCCTCACGGCTCTCATCGCTCCCGTCCGCCACAGCCCTGCTCCGATCCGCCTCCCCCGTTCCACATGGCCCTCGCATCGCCTCTCCACTCAGCTGCCCTTGAATCTCCTCCGCCCTGTCCTCTCCCCTTCTTTCCTCCCCCGCTCCTCCTCCCCATTCCCCCGCCCACACCAGCCAGGGTACCTCCCCCAAGGCCCCCAGAGCAGCAGCGCGGACAGATGGCATACTGTCATTGGCTGCAGAATAGAGGGCAAACGAGAGGAGGTGGGCGTATGCAGAGACAAGGGAGGTGGAGAGGCGGGGCACAGGCAGCAATTCTGCTTCCCTGCTCCTGTCCTCTCCTCCTTCCCCTCTAGCTCCTCCAACCCCTCCTACTGCCCCTTCCTTCCCCTTCACTTCAACTCCCCCTTTCCCTTGTACCACCCTCTCTCCTTTCCTCCCCACCCGCCACCTCTCCCGCAATCCGGCCTCTGCCAGCAGGCGGGCGAGGGCGAGGGAGAGGTCACAGAGGCGCAGGCGCACGCGGTGGGAGGGGTGGCGGGACAGGGTGCGGAGGAGGGGGGCGAGGGCAGCGCGCGAGAGGACGGGAGAGAAGAGGAGCTGGCTGGCGGCAGGAGACTCAGGGGTGGGAGGCTTGCGAGGGTTGAGTGCGTTGAGTGTGACTGTAGCGGAGTGCAGTAACTGCTCCGTGACGCACCAGGGGAGAGGGCGAAGGACAGAGTCGGCAGCAGGTGGCGTGGTGGTGGCAGCCGTGGCATCGGTGGTTGCAGTTGGGGGAGGGATGGAGGAAAGGCAGGCAAGGAAGAATGCCACGGCGTGTGCACTGGCACTTGCTGCAACAGATGCAGTCGCTACACATGATGCTCTTGCAGCAGCGGACTTCTCAAGGGAGGCGAAAGCAGCTATAGCGGAGGGAGGATGGCTCCCAGATGCTTCCGGTGCGGATGCTGCCATGCGTCCCAACCCTCTTCCATGCTTGATCCACGATCCCACACATAAATATCTGCTCTCACATGTGCACGCATCTGTGCCTCTGCAACCCTGCACATTTATACCACCAGCACCAGTAGCACCAGCCCTTCCTTGCCTCATCAGCAACAGCACGATCTGAGTCAGCAGCCTGATCACAGACACTGGCACTGACAAGGTACCAACTTCAGGCAGCATTGGCCGATCAAGCCACGTCAGCAGCAGCCTTTCCAGCTCACTCCCGGCCGCCAGCAGGAGAAGCCGATTGGCGGAAGCACAGAGCAGCGACTGACTGTCTCTCTTTGCTCCACGCTTGCTGCTCTCCTCCTCTGCCCGCTGCAGTGCTGTCTCTAAGCCCAACAGACCGCACTCCACAGCGCACACCTCATCACCGCACAGAACGCCTTCATGTCCTCTTTCCTCCATTCCTCCTCCACCCTTCCGCCCCTCCCTCCTCGCCCCTGACCCCTCCCTCTGTGCTTCCAATGCAGCCCATCCGCTCCTGCTTCCGCCCCCGCTCCCTCTCCCCCCCGCCTCACACCCCACACACCGCAGCTGCTGCAGGAAATGCACCATCTGCACCTGCCAGGGGGGCACGTCCCCCTGCCACCACCGCTGCTGCTGGTGCCGCTGCTGCTGCTGCTCGGACCCAAGTGAAGGGAGACCCACGTGCTTAGCACATGGAGAGACACACATGTGACCTGAACGGCAGTGCAAGCAGGCTTCACACGAGCACGTGCACAGCCTGCCCCCTCCTGCTCCGTCCCCCATTCCGTCTCTCTGCCCCTCCATCTCCAGCTCCTCCCCTCGCCCTTCCTCTTCCTCGTCCTCCTCGTGCTGCGCGCGCCTCTGCTCCCACCAGCCCCACACAGCAAGAGGGGGAGGAGAGGTGTGCAGGTGAGCCGGCTGGAGTGTCTACCATGGCTAAAGCGGCTAGAGCGGTTAGAGTGGCAACAGTGGCGCCTCAGCTTGCGGATCAAAGGCGGCCCCATCTCAAGGCGGAGCATCGGCCATGGGCGCATCTCAAGGCGGAGCACCGGGCATGGGCCCATCTCCTCCCATAGCCTTTTTCCTTCCGCACGCCCTGCCCTACATATCCACCTTCATCGCCCTCTCACCAACCAACGCCAGTCTGTAACCGTCTCCTTCCTCCGCCTCACGTCTCTCCTCTCGCTTCCTCCCCTCCTCTCAACCTTCCTTTCGCTCCTCCCGCCCTTCATTCTCCTCAGCACTTCTTCCCTCCACCTCATCCGCCTCTCAGCCTCCCTCCTTCCCACCACTCCCCCAGACCCACACAAGCAGCAGGCAGCAGCAGGCAGAGGGCGCACAGCAGCAACAGCAGCAGCAAGGACCACTGGAGCCACAGGCTATGGCATGGCACCAAGCGAGGCACGGCACGGCATGGCACGGCACGGCACGGCACAGTCGGCGACCTCAGCACATGACACGAGGTCGCATGCGCCCCACTTTGTGTCATCAGAGGCTGACACCGGGTCCAAATTCCGCAACTCGTGAACACACCCCAGGTTGAAGCATTGCACACAGCACAGAGCCTTCTCCACATGCAGCGATTCATCACCAATGAACGGTGGATGCTTAACTTTGCAACGGTTGACAGTCAACAGTCAACGGTCAACAGTTGGTGTTTCTAACTGCCACGCATATGCCATTGGACATACGCAGGTCAGTCCTTGCTGGCAAGTCAACGCCAGTCAACCACTGTAAACGGTGGTCCCCCTCACCTGGTCGTCAAGGAAGTCGGTGCATTTGACTGCCACGCGCATGCCATTGGATAACCTCAGCTCCGTCACTCCCAGACCCGGATACTCCCTCTGCTCCTCCACCTCCCTGCACGGGGGTGAAATGAGAGAAGGGAAGAAAAGGAAAAGGAACGGAAGGGAAGGGAAGGGAAAGGAAGCGAAGGGAAGGGAAGGAGAAGGAAAGTGTTTGTAGAAAACCAGGTTGCATTCCCCTGCTGCTGCTCCACAGCTCTCACCATTTTCTTGCACCCTCATTATCGCTCACCTAGCCACTGGCTATCATTCACCCTGCCACCCACCCACCACGGCCTGCCACTCATCCCCCACTGCCCGCCACTCACCCCGGTACGGGTGGTGTCTGCACGATGCTCTCGGGAATGTCATCCAGCGTCCACGGCTCTATCAGCTCCACCGCCTCTTCACCTTCACCCCCCGCTGCTGCTGCTGCTGCTGCTGCAGCCCCCTCTCCTGCTGCTGCTGGCTCACCCCCCACTGCCACGTTCCCAGATTCCGCTGCTACTGTTGCTGTTCCTGCTGCTGCTGCTGTTGCTGTTGCTTCTGCCCCCTCTCCTCCTCCTTCCACCCCACCCCCACCCTCCAAACCGCCATCCTCCTCTCCTCCTCCCTCTCCTGCCTCTACACCCTTCCCCTCTCCTCGTTCCCCTTCTTTCCCTCCTCCCTCCCCACCACTCTCCACCACTCCTGTCAAATCCTCCCCATCCCTCTCCCTGTCAGCCGCCTCCTTCGCCTCCACAGCACCCTTATTCGCCTCGTCAGCCTCCACAGCACCCTTATTCGCCTCGTCAGCCTCCACAGCACCCCGCTTCGCCTCGTCAGCGCGCATGGCAGCCACAGTGGCCTCCTTGGCGCGCATGGCAGCCACAGTGGCCTCCTTGGCGCGCATGGCAGCCACAGTGGCCTCCTTGGCGCGCATGACCCGAGCGATGACGCCTTGGATCGCCTCCACGGTGGCCTGTGCCTTGGCCTCCACGATCTTCACCACGCAGCTGCTGCTGGGGGAGATTTCTGATGCAACTGCTGCCACTTCTGCTGCTGTGATGCCTGGGGAATGAGGGGGCGGGAGGGGAGACCAAGGGAAGGGGGTTGGGAACGTAAGGGGTAAAGGGATTGTGGGCCCACGATCTTGACCACACAGCTGTTACTGGGGGAGATCTCCGACGCCACTGCTGCCACCTCCGCTGCTGTGATGCCTGGGGGCGATAAGGTAAGGAAGAGGGAGGTGACGGGGAAGCGAGGGGCAGAAGAAGGGGCAGGGAGGGAGAGAAGAAGGGGTGAAGGGGAGAAGAAGCTGAAAGGGTTTCACCACTCAGCTGTTGCTGGGGAATATGTGTGACACTGCTGCCACCTCTGCTTTACTCACCACCCAGCAACTGCTCCAACAATGCCTCTTGTTGCCTGCTATCAAACCACCTGGACCACTTCATTTATGGCAGCACAGCCAGCCGCAGCAGCACTTTTGCGAATCGAGTTTCGTATTGAATCCCGGGCGAGGGCTCGTCTCACAGAAAGTGCTGTGTGTACTCGTCTGCGAGGGTTTCCAGCGCCCCTGGTGCACCATCCCACACGACCACACCCTACTTGGCAGCAGCACCTTGGCCAATGGTGCCTCGTACTCAATGCCATGCGAGGGCTCGTCCTTGAGAAAGTGCTGCATGTACTCGTCTCTCAGCGCTGCCCGCGCACCTGGTTACAGCACACTTGGCTGCACCAGCAACACCAACAAGCGTACCTGGCAGCAGCGCCTTGGCGAGTCTGGCCTCGTATTCAATGCCGGGCGAGGGCTCTTCCCTCAAGAAGTGCGCCAGGTACTCCTCTCTGACTGCTGCCAGTGCACCTACTTAAAGCCCAAACAAGAGCACCATACCTGGCAGCAGCGCCTTGGCCAGTCGTGCCTCGTATTCAATGCCGGGCGAGGGCTCGTCCCTCAAGAAGTGCGCCATGTACTCCTCCCGGAGCGCCTCGCTGTACGTCTGCTCCCTCTCCACGTATGCCGACTCCACGTCCGCCAGGCACTGCACCCGTGCCATCGCCAGCTCTCGATCCGAGATGCCGTGCACTTGCACTCGCGCGACCTTGAAGAGGGGAGGAAGGGGTTGGGGAGTGGGAGGAAGGGAGGAGGGAGGGGGGGATACGGAGGGATACGGGGTTCTGCTCCCGCTCTTCACCACATATGCAGAGGGGATAGGGAGGAACTCTGGGAGTGCGTCACCACGTGACGCCTCCAGCTGGCTCTGAAAGAGCGTGAGTTTAAAGCCTGGACCAGAGACCCTCGCAGTGACCAGCAACGGGGAACTCACAACCAGCAAGCCATCAACCACTCTCCCACTCACCTCCATCCACAGCGCCTCCAGCGCTTTAAGCGTGCCCTTATCCTGGCAGCTGGCGCTGAGCGAGAGGGGCGGGTGGAGGCGGGTTGCACAGCCCCTTGTTGGCAGCACTACACACACGTGATACTGACCAGCGATCAAGGAGCAGCGAACCCCCCCCACGCACCTCCATCCACAGCGCCTCCAGCGCCTTGAGAGTGCCCTTGTCCTGGCAGCTGGCGCTGAGCGAGAAGGAGCGCGTGGACTTGACTAAAGCCTCCACCGTGGCGGCAGCGGCATAGAAGGGCGGGTCGGGGCGGCGGGAGAGCAGGAAGAGGCGGTGCGAGAGGGCGGCCTGGAACAGCTCCTCCACCAGATACTGCCTGTAGTCCATGGGGGTCACCATGGCGTGCACGGGCGCCTTGCACGTCACCATCACTGCTGACTGGGAGGGGGGGAGGGGAGAGGAGGAGGACAGGGTTATGCAAGAGGTGAGCGGCGAGAGTAGCTCCTCCACCAGATACTGCCTTTAGTTGGAGGGGGTCACCATGGCGTGCACGGGCGCCTTGCACGTCACCATCACTGCTGACTGGGAGGGAAGTGGGGAGGAGGGAAGGAGAGCAGAGGAAAGGGGGAGTCATGGAAAGGAGGGAGCAGTGGTGATGGGCGAGACAGTGGTGATGGGCGAGACGAAAGTGGGGATATGCAAGATATGAGAGTAGCTTCTACTCCATGCGTAGGCCCCCTTAAATGAGGGTACAGACAGCCTGGACCGTGCATCAATAGGGTCACTATGGGCTGCACTGGCGGCGCCTTATAGGAGGAGAGCATTACTGCTGGCTGGGGCCGAGGATGTGGATACCTGTGATGGGTAAGAGAAGTGCCTCAGAGAAGGAATAAACGAAGCACCCATCGCTAGCTGCACATCACGCCACTCTTCATACCCACTAGCACTCCCACGGTCCCACCCACCCACATTGCATTGGACGCCCACCCACGCGTGGCTCCTCCCCAACTCACCCCGCCAGCCTCGCGCTCGACGAAGACGGAGAAGCGCGGCTGCGAGTGCGCGTGGAAGGGCTCCTCTGGCACTGCTGACAGCGCCGAGGGGCAGAGCGGCAGCTTGGCGGCAAAGTGCTCTGCTATGAGCGCCACCACTGCCTGTGGGAGGGGGGGAGGCGAGGAAGAGGGAGAAAAAAGGGAGTGACGGGGGAATGAATGGGGAAGAAGGGGGAATGAAAGGGAGAGGAGGGGCAGAGCGGCAGCTTGGCGGCAAAGTGCTCTACAATCAGCGCCACCACTGCCTGTGGGAGGGGGGGGAGTGGGGAGAAGGGGGTATGGGGAGTGGGGGAGAAGGGAGGGATAGTGATAGGAAAAGTCCCCGGTGGTACCACATGTGGTGAAAGCACAACACAGTGAGCCCAGTCAGTCCTGCTAGCCCCATGCCCCACATGCCATCTTAACCCATCTGAGCATTGGAAAAGCCCCCCACCGCAACCACGGCCATGTTAAAAAGGTGGTACCACGTCTAGTGAAAGCACTTCACCGCACCTGCTGGCACCAGGCACTAGCCTAGCCCCACGCCCTCCACACGCCCCATGCCTTAACAACACACCTGAGCATCGGGAAAGTCCCCCACGGCCACGACAGCCATGCCATGTTAGCAGGGTGGTACCACGTGTGGTAGAAGCGCTTCACAGCGGGTGCAGTCAGACCTGCTAGCCCTATGCCCCTCATCCCCCGTGCCCCATGCCATGTTGACACACACACGCACCTGGGCATCGGGAAAGTCCCCCACAGCAACCACGGCCATGTTAGCGGGGTGGTACCACGTGTGGTAGAAGCTCTTCACAGCGGCCGCTGGCACGCCGCGAATCACCGATTCCAGGCCGATGGGCAGCCGCTCCGCGTACTGTGGAAGAGGCAGCGACAGCGACGGGAGGTGCATTCAGGGAGGTAATATTATATTTGGAAGGTAGTTCAGGTTCAGGTGAGGGTTTTGAGTAATTGGGTTGAGCTTGTGTTGGGTGCTGGGCTGCGGATTGTGGGAAAGAGAGGAGTGAAGTTGGGAGGTTGCGAGACGGAAGAGACAGGAATGGATCTGCAAGTATGGTGTAAACAGAAAGCCTCTCTGACTATATAAACCCCGAAACCAAAAGCCCCACAAATCTCACCTTGCTGCCTTGCATGAGCAGCTGCCAGTGCGCGTCCTGCATGCCCCATGGCATTCCTCCTCTCCCTCGCCTACCCCTAAACCTTACTAACGTGACCTATTAAGCCCAATCCAGAAATCCTAGACCCTACCCACTAGCCGGTCCTCCCCTCACCTTGCTGCCTCGCATGAGCAGCTGCCAGTGTGCGTCCTGCATGCGCCCCATGGCGTTCCTCCTCTCCCGCCACTCCTCCAGCACCGCTCCCCTCTCCTTCTCCACATCCTCCTCCGATACTCGGATCTGCACCCCCCCACGCACACGGGGGAGGGCGCACACAGAAAGGCACACAGGAGAGGCCACACATTATTTCCCAAAACAGTGACTCAGGGATGGATGGATGAAGGCAGCACCTCGGGTTTATCAACGGCGAGCACAGCCTTGGGCACCGACCAGGACTTTAGAAATATTTAATTTGCAGATCTCGGGATTGGCCTCGCCTTACTGTCAAAGTCAGCAAGCATGGGCACGGCGTGCGGCAGCAGCTCAGGCCTATCCACCTGCAGCTGCACGGCACTGCAGCTCGAGAGAGACACCCCAACTCCCATCCCATCCCATTGCACAAACCCACTCCCCCTGCTCACCTCGCTGGCAAAGTCAGCAAGAATGGAGATGGCGTGCGGCAGCAGCTCGGGCTTATCCACGGGCAGCTGCAGCTCAAACACCGTCTCGTCCGCTGACGTGTACGCGTTCTGGCACGCGCCGAACTCGGCGCCGATGCTCTCGAGGAAGCGCACGATGTGGTGGTTGCTGTAGCGCCTCGTGGCGCTGAAGGCTAGGTGCTCCAGTATGTGCGCCACTCCCCGCTCCGCCTCCTCCTCCGCCAGGGACCTGCAGGGCGGCGGGTGGCGGAATGGGGAAAGGGGGATGGCGGAACGGGGAAGGCGGATGGCAGAACGCGTATTGGCGGATGGAGGGAAGCGGGAGCGAGGTGGGGGAGAAGAATGGGGGGGTTTGCAAGATGATTTGAGTGTGCTCTCAAGGAAGCGCACGATGTGGTGGTCGCTGTAGCGCCTCGTCGCGCTGAACGCCAGGTGCTCCAGTATGTGCGCCTCCCCGCTCCGCCTCCTCCTCCGCCAGGGAGCTGGCGGAATGGGGGATGGCGGATGAGGGAAGGGGGGTGGGGGATAGCGGAAGGGGGGACGCGGAGCGGGAAGGCGGATGGGGGATGGCGGACTGCGGGATGGCGAATAGGGGGAGGCGGATGGGGGAAGGCGAATGTGGGAAGGCCAATTGGGGATTGCGGATGGGGGATGACGGATGGGAGATGACGGATGGGGGATGACGGATGGGAGATGACGGATGGGGGATGACGGATGGGAGATGACGGATGGGGGATGACGGATGGGAGATGACGGATGGGGGATGACGGATGGGAGATGACGGATGGGGGATGACGGATGGGAGACGACGGATGGGGGAAGGTGGGACGGCGGATGGTGGATAGCGGGAGGCGGAAGAGAGTTGGGTGAAAGGAATGGGGCAAAACCACGCTTGAGAATAGTGGAAGTCTTCTGTTCCTTCCCACCCCACTCTCTCTCCTCACCCCGCTCTCCCCACACGGTCCTCTCCCACGAGAACCAACCCCCATGCTCTTCAGATCCTCACCCCACGCGGACCGCCAGCGCCAACGCGGCGCGGTGCTGCGGCTTGGCGTTGCGGCGCACGTAGTACGTCACGCCGTTGTCGAGCCGCCCGTGCATCACCGCGCCCTCCGGCCCCAGCGGGATCGCCGCTTTCCGCGACTCCTCGCTCCTCAAATTCAGGGGCTTTAGCGAACGAAACGACGACACGTGTCCGGCTCCTCCGCTTCTGCCGCTCATCCCGCCGCTGCCGCTTCGTGTGAGACTCAGCCGAGTGACGTCAGGCAAAGGTGAATCTAACGAGGATTCTGGCTGCCGGGGGGGTGATGATGACGTCATGATGACGCCAGCCGCGGGATCTAGAATGTCTGAACCGAATCTCTCAAGGAAACAAATCGGCTAAATCCTGAAGTCGATAGCAATGACGACAGAAACTCAGCTTGGGAAAAAGTGAGGAGTAACGACGGAACGTGCAGCGGCTCACTGGTCGGGATATGCAGAGGCCGTGCTGGAACGGGCGAAAGACAGATGGCAAAAGGAACTGGCTTACAGTCGGGATGCTGCGATGAATGGACCGACTGAAGCGAGAAACTACTTGAGACCAAGGATCTCTCAATCCTATTGCCAAAATATAGATTCTCCTGTGTGACCGTTGTTCTCATTGCAGGCCGGCCCTGTAAAAGGAATAAGAAGCTGTGCATCATTGCAGCTTCTTACAAAAACAATTTAAAGTCTCTCGGATCCACTAGATGCATATATACAATACAGTGTGATCTTAGTCTGATTGCTTGACTGGAGGGATGGCTGTACCCGTTTTAGAAGTTCAAACGGCCAGGTACCTGAGCTAGGGTTTCAAAGCCTTTCATGGATCTATTCCAATCCAACGGCTCATCGGTTACTTCGCTAGGCTCGACTCTGAGATCTGGCTGCTTCGTCCAGCCTAACTGTTGCAAAAATGAGCACCTGGGGTTTCCAAACCTGCTGGTCTGGTTTCTCCCCTTCATCCGTCCGTCCGTCCCACCAGTCCCTCCTCATCCATTGCTTCACGCTCAACCGCTCCCTGTTTCTAGGCTCAAAACGCCATTGATCGTTTGCCAGTCGGCGCATCTCACTCGTCCGTTTACCTCCCTAGCTTGCATCTCACCGTCCTGCAAAACCTGGACGCCCTCCATTCGCCTCTCCAGTTCAGAGTTTCCCAGTTCAATCTGATTCGTTGCTCTCCCAGGAGGTACGCACTACCACTCGTTTCGGTTCCCCCATGATTTCACTACGTTTTAGCACCAGTTACGATGCCTAGATTTGGCTAACTATATATTTAGTCTGGCAGCCGTTACTCTAGTTCTCCTGTACTTCTGGTTTATCGATGCACCTTACCTCACGTCGCCGCAATATCTGTTTGGTCCTGCAGTTGTGCCTAGTCTGCGTGACCACTTTTCACACCCGGCCCGTACATGGTTGATATGATAATATTATTGTCCTCTGTTAGGCGACGCGGTTCAGCGACATTCCATCCGTACAACCGTTGAGTAAATATTTTGGACATCCTTCGGTTCTATTGTTGCTTAACTCTACGATCCGTGTCCTTGTTTATTTTGGCAGGTCATTCGCCAACCAAGCAGGCATTCAAGTCAACTAGGTTGTTCCACTACGGTGCGGTTGTCAGGCAGTAAAGGTCTCGCATCATGGCGCAGCAGCCTGGTATGATAAATATTCCCGGTCAGCCAGGCCAGATGGCCTATGCTGCCGCGATGGGTCAACCTACAATGTCTCCTCACATGATGGCACAGTATCAGACAAACCCGGCTTCAGCAGCCGGTGCTGCTGGATCCGTGCCTGCTGCTCAAGTGGGGTCGCTACCGGCTGGTGCACCAGGGTACCAGCCCCAGGCGCTACAGCAGCAGTTGCAATATCAGCACCTTCAGCAGCAACACCAGCAGCAGCTGCAGAGCTTCTGGCAGCAGCAGATGCGTGACGTGGAGCACGCAAATGATTTTAAGAACCATCAGCTTCCGCTCGCTCGTATCAAGAAGATCATGAAGGCTGACGAAGACGTTCGCATGATAAGTGCAGAAGCTCCTGTGGTCTTTGCGAAGGCTTGCGAAATGTTTATTTTGGAGCTCACCCTGCGTTCCTGGATTCACACCGAAGAGAACAAGCGTCGCACCCTGCAGAAGAATGACATTGCTGGCGCTATAACGCGGACGGACATTTTCGACTTCCTGGTAGATATTGTCCCTCGTGATGAGTTGCGTGAAGAGGGAGGCGTAGTGGGAGCCGTTGGGGTCGGGCCTGGTGCAGCAGCCAGCGCTTTGGGCGCCGTCCCGCGCCCACCTGTAGGTATGCCTGGCGCAGCAGATCTACCGTTTGGTGGCATGTATTATATGCCACAGACTGCTGCACCAACCGCGGCCACCATGCAGCAGCCTACTGCAGCCATTATGGCACAGCATCAGATGATGGTCAACAGGCATGCTATGGGAATGGATCCTTCCCTGTACGGCCAGCAGCAGCAACAGCAGCAGCAGCAACAGCAGCAACAACAGCAGCAACAGCAACAGCAGCAGCAGCAGCAGCAGCAGCAACAACAGCAGGCTCAGGCTGCCCATCAGCAGCAGCAGCAGCGGGCTGCAAATGCCATGGCAGGGATGGGTTACATGCAGCAAATGCCTCAACAGATGTGGCAGCAGCAAGGGATGCCACCTCAGTGATTCATTGCTTGAGTCTGAATAGCATTGCATGTCTTTGATTTGCCAAGAGAAGGGCCTTCATTGATTTCTTGAGTTGCCTTTTGTTAGGTCAAGCCAGCTGTTTGTACAAACCACTGGTTAGTATTGTGTTTGTTTTTCCTGCACCATTTTGAGGAAACATATTTGATAATCCGAGAGATTGTACAGATGTGCTTGCTGCTTTAGTTGGTATTTTGAATCGTGTGCAGTTGTTACATTTTGTAGGTATTAGGATGAGCGAGATGCCGCGTGCAGTTGCTGGAATTGCGCAATACCGCAGCTAGCTCTATCGAATCCACTTTACAGGCACTTCTCGAGTCGGAATTGTTTTTTTTTTTTTTTTTTTTTTTTTTTTTGGGACATAATACACTATACAATGCATCACATCCACAGTCGTAACTGAGAAAAGAGGAAGACACAGGCCACTCTGATACGGTTTGCACTGTCCTCCCTATTGACCCTTTACGGAGGCTTAAAAAAGGTACTAGGCCTCTCCCATATCGAGCTGAATGCTTTGTTCCACGTCAGACATTCGTCCTGCTCACAGATGCGGCTCAGCGCTGCCGCCTCTCCAGCTGACAGGTGTTGTCCTCCTCCAACTCCCCCCCCCATGTGTCCCTTTTTTCCGCCGCTCCCCTCACTGTAGACCCGCACATGCCTCCTGAAATTGGCCCCAATCTTCCTGGCCACCCGTCTGGGTTCAAAAGTTTTCTGTCGGAAGACCGCGTCACATCTTTCCAGCCAAATGTGTCTGAACGTGATCGCAACGAGCGTGGATTCCGGAAATCCGGATGATGTGCTGTCTTCAGCGAATAGCAACTCTCCCAGTGTTCCAACCGCTCTGGTTGGGTTAATCAGACGAAGCGAGTCCTGAAGCGCGCCACATATTCCCATAACCACCGGGCAGCTCATCAGACAATGCGTTGGCGTCTCCTCCTGCTTGCAGTATGGGCAGCATGCACGGGAACCGAAGAAAGCCAGCCTGCTGCCCACTTGCAAATTGTAACTGTGAAGCCTCAACAGTACCTCTCTTGCTTTGGCTGGGATCACCAGCGAGTCTCTTTTCGCGATGGCCTTTCCCCAGTCAATCTTCCCTCCCCAGTTCTCCTCCCACTTCTTCTGCTGCTTAGGCTGCTGCGCCGGTTTCTTGAGCAGATGTCTTAGCTTCCTCTGCGCCTTAGGTTTCCCTTCCTCGCACAGAAATGACGTCCTTAGTCGCGTCAGTGAATCACCTACACACCCCACCACATACCCTCCTTTAACCACCATCGGGGTTAACATACTCAGCCTCTCCGGCGGCTGTACTTCAACACCTAACTGCTTGATTTTCCCTTTACTGTCCACCTCCACTCTCTCACACTTCAACTCATTGTCCCCCGCCAGCGCCACTTGCCAGTAACACTGCCTCCCCCCTGTCTCCCTTCCAACCTTGACCAGGGTAGTCGTTTCAGCAATTTCCTCCGCCGACACCTTCCCGAGTAGTTTGTTTTTCCAGCTTTCCGGGACTGCCTTCCAGGCCAGAAGCGCCCACCTCGCCGTGGACGATCTCCCTGTCTGCTTAGTTAACGCCCATAAATCTTTCACCACCCGACTACCGTTATACTCCTCCTGAAGTACGTCCCCTACTGTCATCCCCTTCAGACATTCCGAGCCTTTTTGCTTCCCGAACGGGCTACTGCCTTGATAGTGAATCCACTTGCTGAGCCACAACTGTTCCTTCTCCATCTCCCACCTGTCCGCAGGTTCCGGTAGCTCCGGCAGTTGTTTCTCCCATACGAGCGGCACCAACGACTGCCACCGCTCCCCGCCTCCCTTCCACTCAGCAAGAATGGCCTTATGCGCCAGCAATGTTGCCCAACCCAGGGGCATGTTCGCCGCCTTCTCCATCAACCACTGCTTTATCGAGTTCTCTTCCAGCAGGGCTGCCCCGAGGTTCCATAACGCCTGACTGTTGATTCTGTCCGTCGGGTTAATCACACCGAGTCCCCCTCCCTTCCTTTCCAGGTTTGCCAGGAACTCGCTCCAAAGGATAAAGTGCTTCTCCTCATCCGCGCACCCTTTCGATATGAAGTTGTGACATAACTTCAGAATCCTCTTCCAAATCAGCTTCGGCGGCTGATAGACTTGCGCCTGGAAGAGTATCACCGGCATCACGTAAGCGTTCAGAACCGTTACCCTCGCTGTTGTGGTAAGGTGCAGCTTTTCCCAGTTTCGCAGTATCGTGTTGACCCGCTCCAGCGTTTTCTCCCATGTCGGCTCCGCTTTCCCGTCTGCCGTAACCCAGATACCTAACAGTCTCTCCGGTTTGTCCCTTTCTGCCCAGCTGAAACTCGTGTCGGTTTGCGAAGGGAGCAGCCTGTTTCTCCCCAGCCGCATCACTGTTGACTTCCCCCGGTTAACTTGCAGCCCTGACCTGACGCCGAAGTCCTCCAGTACCTCCTGCGCCTTTGCCAGCTGCTCCTTGCCTTGAAGTATAAGCGTCGTATCGTCAGCATACCCCAGGTATGACAGGTCCCCTTTCCCTCTCTTCCGCAGCCCCAACTTCCTTCTTTTAACCTCCTGACTTAGTGGCTCTGCTGCGCAGATGAAGAGTTACGGCGCCAGCGGGCACCCTTGCCGTACTCCTGACTCAACCTCAACCTTCTTTCCCAGCCATCCATTTATTAGGAGCTGTGTCGCTGCCTGGTCATGAAGCCCTTTGGACCACTTAATGAAGACCTCCGGAAAGCCCATCTGTTCCAGTGTGCGGAAGAGGAAGGTGCGCGACACTGAGTCGTAGGCCTTTTGGAAGTCGACAAGAAGTAAGCACCAGTCCTCACTCCCTTGCACCGCAGCATCGATCGTGTCCGCTACCACTTTGACCGCATCCGCAAGCCTCCTGCCTGGGACAAAGCCGAACTGGTTCTCCGAGATAACTTGCGGCAATACTTTTTTCATCCTGTTCGCCAGCAGCTTCGCGACTATCTTGTACACCGCGCTTAGAAGTGTAATCGGCCGGTAGTTACCCAGATCTGTCTTCTCCCCCTTTTTATGCAGAAGGATCGTTACCGCCGTTGAGAAGCTTTCCGGCAGTTTCGCAGTAGCCTCAAACTCCCTCATGAACTCCCTCAGTGACCCCCAACAGGTCCCAATTGTCTTCCAACAGCTCCTTCGGCAGACCATCCGCTCCTGGCGCCTTGCCTCTCGGGAGCTCCTTTATCGCTTTTTTCACCTCCGCTTCCGACCATGGCGCAGCTAAGCGGCTCACCCCCTCACCATCCAAAACCTTCTGCGGGTCTATCGGCCACTCTTCCACCTCAGCAGATTGCGTTTTACCCTGGAAAAGTTTGGTGAAAAAATCCGATGCTGCCGACAGCACCTCTCTTTCCCCATCGTAGCATCTCCCGTCATGAACCACCATCTTAATCAACGTCTTTGCTTTCTTGGACGCAATCCTCCTGGTTAAGAATTTTGTCGCAATCTCCCCAGCCATTTCCTCTCCTACTCCTGCCATCGTCTGCTTCCGCTTCCTTTGGCTGTCTTTGTATGCTTTCAGCTGCGCTTCGAATTTCACCAGCTCATCAAATTTACCTTGTAAACCCGTATCCGCCATAAACTCCTGTCTCAACGCAGCTACCCTATCCTCCAGGTGAGCGATGGTTCTCCCAATCCTCTTCCTCTCCTCCCTTGCATGGGCTTTGAGGCTGGCCTGCAGCATGGTGAAGGTGGACTGCAGCTTCTTCCCCCCCTGCCCTGACTGACTTTGTAGCACCTTCTGAATCGTGTTCCGCACCCCCGGACTGCTTGCTTGCGCAGCATGCATTCTCCATAACCCAGGTCCCCCCTCTGTTCCCGTCTTTGCCGCCAGCACTGTGGTGACACCAAACCAATGATCAGTGACTCCCACCGGAGTCGCCATATGATACGCATCCGCCAACATTGGTAACAACGAGGCCGAAACCAGCGCGCGATCAATACGCGAGCTCGTCATCGTCGACCTCGCAAGAAAAGTATACTCCAGCTTCGACGGATATAACGTTCTGAATGCATCCTTCAGGTCCCACCTCGAAAAAAAGTCCAGCACCCTTTGATTTTCCGCATCCGAACCCCCCTTTGATGTCTTATCCATGATAGGGTCAGCCACCATATTCAGATCGCCCGCCAACAGCAGATGACCCGAGGCCGGAAGTGTGTCCACAAAAACTGACAGGCACTCTCTGTAGAAGGCCCCCCTTGTCGTTGTTTGAGCAGGAAAATACGCTGCTACCAGCGTCCATGCCAGCTCCCTCCAACGAACAGAAACCGCTACCAGTCTTCCCGACACATGTACACGGGTATCACTGAAAACAACCTCTTTGTTAAAGCTCAACACTGCCACCCCTCCTGCCGTGTCAGCAGACGAGACCACTGCCCTCGCCTCCGACCCTGTTTGAGTCCAGAAGTTGTGGTCTTCCTGCAACCTTGTGTCTGTAAGTATTACGATTCCCCTTGACTTGTTAAGCCACTCCTGCAAACCCTCTTGCTTCTCCGCGCGGCCCAATCCATTGACATTGAGCGCGCCGATGGTAAGTTCATGGTTTTTATCCATTTGACCACTGATTAAGACCCCTCTTCATCCACGGGTCTGAAAGTTGTGTTGCGTCACGCTTCGCTGCTGTCAACAGCCTCCAACGGTTAAAGATTCTTACTGCCAAGATGACACCACAGATTACTGCTGATGCTAGCGAGATGCAAACTACTGTTCCACCTACTGCTGCTGCATGAAGCTCCTGAGTCACCTTCTCCCTCTGAACCTCCCATGTTTCCACTGCCTTCAGCCTCCCTGGGCAGATTATTCGAGAAGTTCCCTCCTGGGTGTTACGGCGGAAAACGCGACCATGTTGCTGTGAAGCAATCCCCCCCGTGCTGCAGTTGTTCCTCACTTTGCCGATTTTGCAACGTACTCCCTCTTGAACGCAATCATCTTCTGAGAAGACACACTGACACGCGTTGCCGATCCCTCC